GTAGCAGAAAATGCAGAAATATGATCTAGCCTACTTGATGATAGACACTATCGAAATGAGTTGCCACAAGTGTCATTTTTTTCAGCATCGCCTTTTCGGTTTCTTCCGACGTCGCCGCTAGCCTCCGGGCATGGACCCCCCAAGTCGCCTCGTTAAATTGACTTTATACTTCGGACTTGGTCCGTACGTTGACCTTCCCGCACTGTCTGTAGTCTTTCTCGTGAACCCATGCTGTATGCTCACGTTGAAATTTTGTACCACTGTTATGGCACCCGTTGTTGATGTGCATATCTTCATGATAAAAACACATACCTCCACCGTGTTTGTTATTCAATGGCGACTCGACCGGCCTTGCTTGGGTTCTCGATTTGCCTTTACTCAGTTTTACCAATGCGTATAAGTGTAGTAAGCTTGATAGTGACGACGGTTAGTGCTGTCTCAATAGGGCGTGGGTGTTTTGGAGGTAGTTGCTTTGGAAGACTGTTCAAAGTAAGTGTAGAGGATGAGCAGTTTTCAATAGCGAGGTTATTGATGTTGATTAATTGTAGTCGAAGAAGAGGACGTCGGACAGAGATCGATTGTTGAATAATGAATCCGGGGACAGCGGGCAGACAAGGGGTGAACATGGAAGCACTCCAGTGGTGAGTGATGGAGTCCTGCTTCCAGACATACAGGTAGGCTTGGAGGGAACTAGCAGTATCGACATTACTCTGTTGCTGCTACGCTTGGATGGTCAGCTTATGGCATTTTCGATACCTCCAGTGTCTTGCTCCGTTCAGGCGAAGTCCCTGGGAGAAGCTGCTGAAGACGCGTTCGGGGTGAGCATTCTGACGTTTTCTATGAAAGCCGTTGCCCCGGTTTTGACTAGCTTCGTTCATCAGGCTTCAGAGTGTAGGGCTAAGAACGATGCAGGGCAGACCCTATATTGGCGACTTTGGCATAGAGGTAGGCTCTCCTCGTCGATTGCAGATTTTTCCGATTGCATCTACAGGTGACTTCTATTCCTTCCACAATGGTAATCAACCTTTGGTCCTGCGGAGTAAGCCCGACGCTGAGCTCACTGTGGCATTCCTAGTCGACGGACTGTGAGTACATGTGGGGAAATAGAGAGAGCAGCTTGCTGTGGTAGGGAGTACGGCGTCGACTTGGATGCGGAACCGCAGGCATCACTGAAAGACCTTCTAAAGCTCGAAAGGGAGGGAACTCGAGCTGAACAGAAGGACGTCTGTGGGACTATACTGAAGGCTGGGCAATCTACTCTGAGGAAGGAATTCGAACCGGCATCACGAAGAAGGGCAGGACAGGATACATATACGCTGAAGCAACTTAGGAGTGATAT